CGTTCAGTCTGTGTTAGTGTGTGCCGTCGTCCATGGCTCAGTGACATAAGTCGCTACCTCGTAAGAGTAAGGTCCAGGGCTCGAATCCGGCAGGATTCGGCGGGTGCGCGCTATTGACGAGTCCCAGTAGGAGGAAACGGCCGTCTAGCGCTTTCCTGGATGTGTGGCGGCTGTGTACCTAGGTCTGACTGCAACGAATCTATAGATTTCGTCTTTCCAAATCATGCTTGGCTGTTTTTCCGCAAAATGCGTGCCCCACTCGGTAATTCCGATTATCGTGTCATAACAGTGTGCCCCATCGTTCATAGTAAAACTTACTGCGGTTCGCTGGCTAATAAGCCCTTCAAAACTGTGAGGCGACGAGATTGTTTATAATCAAATATTGTGCAACTCCAGGAAACGCTGAATTCTACTGATGTTACAGTTTTCAATAATGAAGTACTGTTTAATCGGGGTGATTATTTAATCGATTCTCTTAAGTTATGCTTCGATCTTTGCTGCCCGGTCGAAACCACATACCTACGAGTCGATAGACTATCCTCACTATCACACAAACAAATTAGAAGGGAAACAAGAACGAGCGCAGAAATGTAAAATGGCTGCCAGTGCCAAATGTCTCCTACTATCGATACAAACTGAGATTTCACGACTGAATAATTTATACATCGGTGTCGTTTTGTGCAACGACAACTGTCGAGACCTATGAAGACTTTTAAAGCTTTAATAAGCTTCAATAAGCCTATTGGATCTGTGGATGTAGAGAAACTCAATGCTGAGTTCTGTTCTTCTTCACAGGGAGCATCCTCTACCCCTCCATCTTTTCTGCTTTGTTCTCTTGCTCAGATGCCAAATTTACATTCCAACGCCTTGAAGTCAACCGTGAACTCAGGAATCTGAACTCAAGGAAGACTAATGGACCCGATGCGCTCTCACCAGTTGTCTTGAGGAGTGTGCTAATACCGTCACCATCCTATTGACGGATTTTTTTAAATCATTGTCTACACGGTGGAAGTATTCCCTTTATTTGGAGGACTGTCAGGATAACGTTCGTGCCAAAGAAGCGATCCACGAAATTCCTTCCCATGTCCTGTACATCCGTCATGCTGATAGTCTCCGAAAGACCACTTGTGCCTTGAATCTCAACAATGGACGTATCTCAGTTAGCTTACAGACCCCAACGTCCCACGTTGAATACGTAGCATATCTTGTTCACTATATAGCATCTTTATTGGATGAGAAAAGCAAGGATATATGGCTCCTCTTCCTTGATTACGCCAAGGCTTTTGGCAGTGTCGACTGATCAATCTTGCTTAATCAGCTGTCTGTGAATTGTGTTCTACCAGCAGTGCGCAACCGGATGAGCAACTACTTCGTAAACCGAACTCATTGTACCCAGATAAAGGGCACAATGTCCTACAATCTTAGTGATGACCACAGCGTTTTACAAGGTGTACTCCTCACCCCACTTCTATTTAGTTTATTCATTGAATTGCTTCCGATTCCCCCCAACATTATTGGACGTAAGTACGCTGACGAAATAGTCTTAGGTAGCATTGCTCCAACTACTGAACCATCATCCGCTCTGCAACTCGGTCTGGACGAGTTTCAGCAGTGGTTGTCGTCCCGATCCTGTACTCTCAATACTTCCAAATGCCGTGACGTAACTTTGTCTTCTCTACACTGACAAACTACTGACTGTGACAAACACTTCTCCCCCACCCAATGGTCGTAAGCAACCACAATATATCCAGTTCATCCACTGTTAAGCACCTTGGTGTATATTTGTCTTACAATCTGTCTTGCTCAACACACGATGACCAAAGGTTCCGCCAGGTACGGAAATTATCATTTCATACCCTCAGACTCAAAATGCTTTAAGTAGCCAGCTCATTAATTTACGATTTCATGGCTGCCTCAATTCTTCCCTATTGGTTATTTTGAGCGTCTATCATTTTTCCTGATATTCTACAAGAGACTTCACATTGGTTGTGCTTCCCATTAAGCTTATTTCCAAGAGTAATGGATTATCCAGTGAGTCTCGGGTTGACTTCAACATTACAAAGCACTTTAGTGCATGTGACAACTTTTCAGCAAAGGACATAAATAACCTTCTTAGCCCCCTTCACGCCGATTTATCTAAAGCACTCTCCTGCTCGTCTACCCGCTCTAAATTTAGGAGTTTGAATTCTCGCACAAGTTATCACAACTCAGTCCTACCACATTTATGCCGTTTTCTTGTGGACTCCAAGCAAATTATCAGCACCACACGTGTACGCTTACTTGAGTGACATGCATGTATGGTTTATTCGTTTTGCACTTTAAATTCCAATTTCATACAAATGTTATGCCTCACTACATCCGTAGTGTTAGTGTAAAATTGAGAAAATATTCCCAGTTGGGTCCATAAAGACTATTTTTATTTGGCTCGACTTGGATGGTTAACAGTATATTGCAAGGAAATTTGTCATGTTCGCTCGTGTCTCACGAAAAAACAGTACCCATGACATTACTTTATCAGACTGCTCGTCTCATGTTCCCACAACCGGTTAATGTTTGTTCAAGCTCCCACAGGCGATGCACCATCCGAGACTAGTACAGTACGTCCGATGGAAGAGGGCCGATGAACGCATTCCGGAATGTGAAGGGCGGTTCATGAACCGACCGCAAATCGCTAATGGTGAATGCCGGTCATCTACGATAGTTGTCCCCGCCATCAAATGTTTAGCGGAATGGCGTGGGTGCACGAGTGCACACACATTAAGTTCTCTTTAACCTTAGTGGTGAAGACATATAGCATCCTCCTCATACAAGTGGTTTAGTTCAGGCATCAACTGAGTGCAAGCGTAAAACTGGTGAGGTATAGGCCGGCACGCCGGCAGTTCGAGCGAGACAACTAAAGACAGCCACATGACACTGTCCGGCGATCGCTAGCTGTCAGCTAGCCTCGCTCTGAATGCTGAGCGCGGAAGGTCGTGGCAAAACGTTCATCGGTCCTCTTCCATCAGATGTGCTGTAGACCCAACAGAAGCAAGGTTTCATTCAGAGCAAAACTCCGAGTTAATAAATGAATAGGAAGGTTAGGACTAAATCTATTTGTCGTAACAGTTCAGATTATGAGTCATGAATGTGTGAAGCGAACGTCATCGATATCTACAGAGTGAGAGCACAATCGCTTACCAGAAACTTTAAAGCTTTTATCACTTTTTCCCCATCTCATGAAACATATTCCAAGTGTTGATAAGTTGGAGACTAAATTTGGTCAAGCAGTACGACAGGTTGAAATGTTCCCCGACGATTATTTGCTTCCAATGTGTCAATCATTAAGTGTTCCTCTAAATCACGTTACTTCTCTGAACTCGTGTGCTCGCAATTCAAAAAGTTATTTACAGAAACCTTGTACTGACACACGTTGAAACAGCGCGTATTCGCTGGTGAACGGCGTAACGTAGCCTAATGGTATACACACTTATATTCCCCATAAGCCTTTGGTGGCCTCATATATAAATCTGTGTTCAGCAAAGTATGATAAATCCACAGACACAAGCTTCAGTTTGTCGTCACTGTTATTTTAATTCTGATGACAATCCACTGTGTTTACTAAGCATGATATCATTTACTCGTTAGAACGCATTGCTAATTGTTCATCACCGTTCGGTCGGAAGTGATGGCCGCTTTTGTGACCGTTTGATTCTCGATGCTCATTTGAACACGACGGCTTCATGCTTGCCCACTACACAGATTCGTGCCCCTGGCGTGTATGCTGGATGTCACAGTGGTTCCCTTGAATTGGCGTATGAGGTGTTACAATCACCCACTCTCATACATTAGTTTGGGTATGTTCCTTGACTGGTGCTGTCTTAAGAAATGTGGCACCTTGTCGCTTTAGTCGAACTATATTTGCAAAATGCACGTATGCATGACGCCTTTCCCTTAGGCTCTATGCGGTTTGATCGCACTCAAAGCGAACGCTGACAAAGTGTGTATTAATGCATTGTCGACAAAATTGCTTCACACTCCAAAGACTGTTAATCCTTTTTAAGCGCGATAAGATGCACAGCTTTTGCGACAGTCCCAAACGTAAAGCGTACTTCCATGCTGTGGAGAACAACAGCGTAACCGTCTATCTGTGTACACATGTTCTCCCGATGTTTGCATCACAGATATGCTCACTGAATGAGCATAAACCGACTGCGAATCAGTCATGGCTGTCATTTGCTTTCGTCACAGCCGCATTTTCTCATAATTACTCGGAATATTGGAGGTTTGGATAGAGACGCTTGGGTGTAGAGTGAGTCATGCATGACCTTATATTGGCCGTAAGATTTTTGCGCCTGTTCTCATTCACAGTGGCAAACAATTACGGAAGCGGATGATAGAAAAGTAAGACCGATGAAGCTATCATTAACACCATTAGCATGGGCCCCTTTTCATTCAGTTAGGGCTTATTTGGTTGAACCACGCCCTGACGATTGCATATCGAATTCCGCCGGATCGTACTAGCCGGGAGCACAAAGTCGCCGATACGTTACGTGACTTCCTTTATCAATGCGGCTGAAGTATGAATTCACATGGGCTCATTGTGGATTAATTTTACCTGGGGAGCTCAAACGATTATGTATATATTCACGACAAATTTCCGGAAGAAGGAAATGCTTTACTAATACCCATTTCACTGAAATCAACAAGATCGGGGATATCACAACTCCTCGTAATACGTATAAAATGCGAAAAGATGAATAAGTGGCTTACTGATTGTCACTTTGCTTACTTTAGGGTAGTAAGCCTGCACAAAACACAAGCTTAAAGAGATGCGATACAAATGGTAAAAACGCTTAACCATTCTGCTGCCCTGCAATTTGGCAGTTCCATAGAAAATTGCTTCAGGATTAGCTAACAAGTTTGCTGTACTAATAGGGCATACTATAGTCACAAAATAAATAAAGCTGGTTGGTACTTGTAGGTGCCTTAAAAGCGGTGGGATGCAGAAGAATGAAACTTGCTCTCTTTAATAATCTCCAAGTTTGCGAGGCTTAATACATAAAGAAGAGCTCTACTTTCCTCTTTGATCGATATACCTCATACTCACCTGAACCACCGTTGTTCCTAGATATAACAGTATCTTTGGAATTGCTTAACTCGTCTAATCATAACCGTTTGCACCAATGTTCTCGATCTTTGGCGCTTCCTTCTTGCTTTGACCAATGAGGATAAAAGACTGCTGCTCTACCGCACCTTTCACATTGATTAATAGACGTGAGAACATGAGTGGAACTTAACCATTTAGGAAATGTGCTCTTCACATTGCCGGTCGATAAGAGTTTAGCGAACGAAAAAGCGGCACTCACTTCGGATCGACAGCTAAATGGGTGAGCGTAACCCGGTGTATGTGACAGACATAATCGATCTTGCTCTTTCCTCCTATATGCTAAATTAGGGCAAGGCATACATTTGTGTAGCTGGCTCATAAGGTCACGGTTCCTAAGAGGTTCCATCTGTGCTCGGATATCTCCCTAATGGTCTAAGTAAGCTCTGTTTGGTTCGGTAACCATCACCCTCATTACTGAACCCTCGTGTCGGTTCCAGGTAAATTCCGCTTTACGATGTGTATGTACTACGACATCCAAGCTAATTCTTGCTAAATTCCTATAAAATCTCTTAATTTAAAGGCAACAGGACTAACCCAGATGTGTTCGGTGGGTGCTAAGCTTCTTAAAATAAATCTATTCTTGATCGAATTTCTAATGGAATCTCGCTTTTCTGAACACCTACTATTGTAAACATGGAATTCACAGAGGCACTTTCACGCAACTCGAAGAATTTAGTCGCACTTAAAAACATCAAGTCACTCAAGCCCTGCTCTTTTCTAGCTTCAATTATGCTAACAGCGTTGGATAAATATAGACGCTGTCCAGCTTCGGGTTGTAGTTTGTACGACTTTCTGATTAATAAAAGGGGAAAACTTAGCTGTGCGCTAAGAAGTGTCAAAACGCATGGATACTTGCGAAACAGTCTGAGCACAATGTTTTTTACGGTCAGTGTTCAAATGGGGTTTAGAGCACCACATAGCTATAATTTTTACTTCGATATAAACCCAAGAAGATCGCGTCCATACGGATAGCATTGTCCATCGGCAATAGAAATTGGATGATGTAACAGGTTCGCACTTTCAAACACCAGGATGGCTTTGGTCTCCAGTTACTCTTTTCAAGATATGTTTACCCGACCGCTAGTTGTGCACGCGATCCCATATTTAGAGTCTGAAGGCACTGACGGAACTTGATGTACGACTAAGAGTTGTAACAGACGAAAAATTAGGAAAGGGGTGATTTTGTTTCGGCAGTTTTGTAGCTCAGAATAAAAGCCAAATGCAGGGTTCTAACCAGACGTGTGAATGGCAGTTGAAACAAACAATATACACAATACAATTCCATCCATTTGACCCGTGATTTGTGTCCGGACGACAGATTCGCCTGCTAAGATTACAATTTACTTTTTACAAATTACACTATTTCGTTATCCTGAACAGATTTGCCTCTATTAGTTGAGACCTCAACAACTGGGTTCGGCTCTACCTCATTGTAGAAATACTTCTATACAATACCATTCATCACTTGTACACCAGAAGGAGATACGATTTTTACAAAAATCCCACTTGTCGTCATTTCTTACGGATTTACCTTGGATTTACAATCTGCACTACGTATACTTAAGTGACTACACTGGTGTAAACCCAATTTTGCTAACTATTTTTTTGTATTTCATAGTTTCACCATAACCATCCTACTCGACTTGTTAAGCATTTGTTTTATTACCCGTATAAAACCATTGTTCCATTGTTCCATTGTTTGGTCTAACAAAGTCAGTCTTACTAAGATAAGCAAAGACAATTACAAGATCCCCTGGAAAATTTTCTTAATTCCATATTACGATGTTCCAAACAACCCCCTTCAAGCTCGACTGTCTATCTTTGCGTATGGATTAGCTGGACGCTTGCGAAGAAGGGATCTACCATAACAAATCAGACCACACCAAGCATATCCAACATGCAATTTAACAACCTGTAACAAAAGTTATTGAGTTACTGAAAATCCTGGAAAACTCCTTTAGGAATTCATGCGTGTCCCTGATCAACTTGTGATTTATGTGTTGCTGACCAATCTAATCGACTGATTACACCAAGTTAGCTGTGCCTCGTACAGTTTGGGTTCCAAGTAGTTTGCGTATCAGTGTTGCAAATGTTTCATCATCAGGCCATGTGTCATCCGCGGTGCATCGTTAATATTGGACTCGAAAAACATCTTGGTCATTGGTAACCAAAAATCATCATGGTCTTAGATAACAAATTCCTTGGAATAGTCATGTGATTTCAATTACGCGTGCGGTTACTGCATTCACATAGGACGATTGACTGCGTTTTCATTGGCGCAATAGATTCTGATCGGTGAAACTGGATCACTCAAACCGTACTCTTTGACTCCTGATAATGTTTGACGTCACACATCAGTTATCAAGCAGTCTGCTTACTTTCCCTTGGGTGCGGCATATAAGTAGTTGCTATGGCTAGGAAACCTCATAGTTACTTGCGGAGAATCCCAATTTGGGGAATACTATCCATCCACAAGCCTATTAGTGGGATAGGAGTTCACTTCTGGCCCAGTCGAATCAAAGCCCTTCCTCATCCACGTGCAATAAACTGGCCCTCCCGTAAAATTTGAATAATATTGAAGGTATCTTTTTTGTTTAATCATATAGATCAAGACACGATGTTGGCTATGGATCTCGTGCACGACATTCAGCTGTTATGATGACGGTAGTTTTCACTTTGTAGTCATCTATTCAGCAGCTGGATGGTTAGAATATGGACAGGAAGTTTGTTTTCTTTCACTGATTTAAGCTCGATTGAAAAACACCATTGGTATCGCTGAGCTCGTTGCCTTAATCTGAGCGCATAGATTGGTTGTTGACAAATTGGAAGTACAATTTTGTTCTGGTAAAAGGGAACAACGCCTTTACGTAATTTCACAGGCATTGCGGTGAGCATATAAACGTCAAGAACACATTCGCATTCAAATCAATCATAAATCTTGAAAATGTAGGAGACTGACCATCATAGCGCAAAGAAATCTCGAACACTCAGAATCAGTTGCCAGAATGTTTGCCAATAAACCGTAGAAACGCAATTCAAAAGCTGGGAGTAAGTAACACGAAAGGGGTAAATGGGGAGTGAAGGAGGATAGGAGACACACCGTGTCAGAAGACATAATTGTTTTAAGTCCCTTAATCGATGAAAAAGGTACACGCCGAGGGTCATCAACATATTTGTTAATTCAGCTCTTCGCCACTCCCACCGAACCCATGCGCGACCCTGAACATGTCCGGAACACGGGGTCACGCCCCCTGGCTTGACGGTGCCCGTTGTGAATGGAACTTCAAAAGAGATGTCCGTTTAAGTCGAGGGGATAGGCGAAGCACGGATAATCAGAGTGAACCATGTTGACCTCATATGCCAAATGCTCTCAGCAAGGACAGATCGGTTACCACATTTTCTTGCCGGGGCCATATCGACCGGACTCTCTTCATCACGTCGAGGCGCAGCGCAGGACACCGTTTAATCTCATAGTCAACTTGTCAATAACGTTAGGAATGGAAACATATCCAACGCATTGGAATGTCTATAATGTCCTCAACCAACTAAAGACGATCAGATTATCCGTTGGTGCATTTCAGCGGCTATTCTGTTAACTTACCCACATGTTATGTGTGCGGCGGTGTACTTATACGATCTTTGCGTGCGGACTCACGTGGTGATCAACCTTGAGTAGGCGCTGAGCCTGTCCGCATTGTGCACACCGCCAAACAATTTATCTGTTACTCCCCGCGATTGTGTACGGATCGGTAAGCGCAAACTGCCGCCAGTCCCCTCCGATCCGTTCCACCTTTGGTGTAGTGCCCGCTCACACGGGTAACTGCAGGTATTCCTGGATTTTGTAACCACCATCAGGGCATAATATCCCAACACTTCTGTCCCTGCTGCAATTGTCAAAATGTTCTTCCGTCCCTTGTTGTCCTTCAACAACTTTGGCTCAATGGTCCCATGTAGTAAATCTAATCGTGTACGCAAGCGATGACCGAACATTAACTCTGCCGGGTTTCTACCAGTTGTCTCGTTTGGCGTGTTCCGGTGCGCGAACCGGGAACGATCTAAGCGCACACGCAGCGGAGCATTTGGTTGTTTTGTTAGCAGCTTTTTCAGTGTCTGTACCGCCCTCTCTACCAACCTGTTGGAGGATCGATGATAAGGTGCAATAGTTATGTGTCTAACGCCGTTTGAACTAAGAAAGGTGGAAAACTCGGCACTACAAAATGTTGGCGCATTGTCAAACACTAATGTTTCGGGAAGACCAAACGTCGTCAACGTTGGACGCAGTTTAGTTGTGGTGCTAGCTGAAGTTGCTGAGGTCAGAATGTGGGCTTCACTCCATTTAGAATGGGCGTCAATGATTAATAAAATCATCTGACCCTCGGAAGGACCAAAACAGTCTACTTGGACGCGTTCCCAAGGCTTTCCTTTCCACTTCCAAGGTTGCACTGGTGCATGGGGAGCTGCGTTTCGGTTCTACTGACAGTCTGCAACTTCCAACCTTCGCTACAATGTCTTCGTCTTATTCGGGTCACCACACATAAGTGAGCTAGTGACTTCATTTTGGCAACTACTGGGTACGCAACATGTACTTCATTGAGGATATTTAACTTAAATCGTGCGCACCACGGTAAACATCCGTTCTGAATGCTGAGCTGAGACATCTCATTACGGATAGACATGAGTTCTTCGGATGTACGTGGCCACTCGACTTGAGCGTAGCGCTTCACCACCGATAAAACAGGATCACTATTCGTTTCTTGACGTATGTCTGTCAACGTGACCGGGGAATCATTACGATGCTGAACCAAGTGCCACCCTTGGGACTGCGGCAAATTACCCGCTCTTAGAACAGCCCAACGCTCAAACACAGTGAAAATCTCATTTAAAAGAACCAGGGGCCTATGTAACAGCGCTAGATCATCCGACGTGACAATGTGAACA